GACGTGTTTAATAATATTACGACAGATTTAATTATGAAACATTTAAGGAGGTCGGTCTTACGAACGGCGTCATACTTTGTTTGAAGTTGGTTCGCTTTGTTTGTATATTGTTGTGCATCAACAATCGGCAGGTAATCAACTGAAAATTATATCTATTTAACGATCTTTCTGGTCGATTGGGTTATACGTCAGTTTGAAGGTAACTCCATCTCTGAGTTCTGAAATTCCCGGGTCAATGTAGGGTGTTGTGATACATTCATTATTTCAGATTTTCTTAGATTTTTTTTTGTGATAATGCTATTTTACGTTATGCTTATTACAAAATGCTTAAAAATCCACTTGGTCCCTGGCATCCTGAGATGGGAATCGAACTCACGACCTTTCGCAATCCGGGCGACTGCTCTAACCACTGAGATACCCAAGACCTAACAGGACTGACGAATCTTTCAAGTATGGCATTGTTTCAAAACTATAAAAGGCGATTGAATGACAACAACAAGGCAAACAAATAATGACAAAAAAAGTAGTTTATATGATGTAAGATTAACAAATAAAAGCAAATATCACGTGTGATATGTAATGCAGCGGGTAGTGTATAGAAAATCAATGGACACCTTGCGTTTAAAGCTTATCTCACTCGCTAAAAGCCCACTTATAGATCTTTGGTGCGGATATTGAGGACACTTCAAGTTTTGGCGGAATCTTCTACCAATAAGGTATTCTTAGGATTGATATGACTATTTATTTGAAACGATATTTAAAAATATTTGTACTCCACTTTAAAGTCAAATCATGAAACATGATTTTTACTATGTATAAAATGGTGAATATTTATTGATTTCTTATATTTTTCACACACATTATCCATAAATGAAACAATTTTAAAACGGTTTCCATTCGCGAAGCAACTGAAATTAAAACACATTCGAATTTTAACAGAGATGAAGGTTGGAATAAACTACCGGCTTGGGATACAGTAATTAGTCAAATAAAATCTTAATCCAGATCACACATTGCAGAACCAAAGGATACAGTTAGTTCATTCTGAAAATATTAAATCAAAGGGAGCAATTACTTTTCTTGACGGAGTTCTTCTCAGATAAGACACCCACATTGGGAACTGGTGTGTTTAGTAGCCAGGGGTAAAGAAACAAGTCAAATAAATTTTTAAAATAATTTATTTTAATAAATGCATTTCCGTTGAATGTACTTTTTTTTGTATTGTAAATGTGTCCAATAGTATCTTTTTGAAGGTAGCTATACTCTTAATTAAAAAGACAATCAACACCTTAGTGAATACGTAACCTGTAAAGAGTCCGAAACATCAATAAAAGAAAATACACTTTATACGGAACCACACTTCATCTTTATCAATGTTTTAATTAAAATACGAATTGGCTCGGCGTGGACCATTCTGTAATTGCGATCATTCCACCCGCGGCGGTGGCGGAGTGCGGATGAGGGGCTGCGCTCCCTATCTTGAGTATTAAGCACGAGAAATATGCCAGAATTTGAACAGGCGGCGCACATACGGTGCGAGTGTAACATTGCTACTCGTTGCGGCATGTTATTGCAAAGCCACATACGTGCTACTGCCGACTATCTGACATTTCATACCGATGAACAGGCTACGTGCACATACTTCCTAACATTTGCATAAAATCTATCGGTTATGCATTGGTACTGTTTATTTATCTGTGTGAAAGTACAGTCGGTGTTATCTTTAACACACTGAACCTAACAGTTTATAATTATTTGTGATTACGAAAATGTATATTTATTCAATAAGTTTTGTTTGTCGGTGGGTTATTTACATTTTTTTTATATTCCTCAAAGTAAAGCTCTATATATTTATCTGACTAAAAAGGGATGATTTAGTATAATGGTTTTCCATTATACTGATTTATATTTATGTATATATTTTTATGTACGATCTCATTTTTAAGAGTGGATTTTGATAATTATTTTTGTTTGAACGTCCTTTATCATTGCAAATCCCATTTAAATCTAAACCACATCAGTCATTTACTTTCTTATATGAAAAACTAGCTGATTTCCTACAACTTCGCCTTTGTAAATTATAACCGATGTCACTTACGTATGAAGTTGCTTCCCGTAGGTGATTTTTTTTAGCCGGTCCAGTATTTTCGTAGCCTATTTGGAACAAAGGAACAATCAAATCTTTGCTATTTATAATATTAGTATATAGATAACTGGAAAAGCTATAGTTAAATCATCTATATTAAATTGGAGATTTAATTAGTTTTCAAGAAACTAAAAATATTTTTTTAATATACTTCAAAGGCGGTTAACAAAAAAGGTACGCTATGAAGTACGATTTTTTCGTTTTTTATACATGAAATAACTATATATGTATAAGGGTTGTTGCCATTTTCCGGTGTTCAGTAGAATCTCTAATTCCGTATACACATGTTATGTGTTACAACTGCCATAAGATCATAAAAGTAACAAAAAATAAATCTAAAAGGAAATGAAACAAGAAACGTAGGAGGTAAGGCGTTTTTCATAGCAATATTTTGTTCAGATTCAATAATTCTTAAAAAAAATACGTCGTCGAAAAGGCAAATCTTTTTAACCGATGCGGGAAACTAATGGCGAAGGCGAAGCTTTCGGGAAAATCCGCTTCTTCTTGTCAATACAGGGCAACCGTGATGGCTCCTTCGGTTAAGCCTTTATTTCAAAGAACACTATTTCGGCTTTATTGAGCACACGACGCAGATAGCATTGACATAAGTAAATGCAATGAAATAAGACAAAAGAAATCATCCCTCTTAAAATACGCGTATGAGTTGTTTTTATTATGTTTCGGTAAGTAAGGCTTTGTAAGAATTAGAAATTGGAAGTATCTCGGATGGAGAATAATGGTATGGTATTAAAATAAACTTAACATTAGTCAGAGATAAATTCTCTTATAATTATTTTATAGTATTTTACATATAATAACTCATAAAGCAGGCATGTATTGTAATTATAAATGGAAGCTTCCAAAACAAACTTATAGAAAGTTATGGAGCATAAAGCAAAAAATAACACACACATACACACCACACTCACATCCATACACCTACAACACATCTACACACGCATATTCATAAACAGTTGAACAGATATCATATTCCTCTTCTTTTCTTGGTTACTAGCTATTTAAATAATAAATAGTATGATATAGCTTTCGTTAGGTGAAATAATTATTAATAACGTCAAGTAGTTTCAGAATCTATTCAATGCAAACAAACAAACAATAATATCCTCTTTCAATTCCTCTTTATAATATGGGAATAAAATTTAGGGCCAATAAAACGTTTTCGTTAACGAAATGGTCTCCAAAATCTGTATGATGTTGATGTTTAAGATGAGGTAATGGATGAAATTAATAAACATTTTACTTTTTGTATAATGGAAAATGTGAGAATTTATAGTCCATATGTTTTTAGAGGATAAAATAAATTTCCAGGTTATTGACGTAAATACAATCTGATAATAATAAATTCATTTGATTTAGCAAATTGGCTCATGGTTTAGTATGCAATTGGGGAGGCGAGACCACACATGTGGTGAAAGCCTTCCAATGTATGTAAGTCAATATATATTGCAGTCAGTTGTAAGTGAAATATGCAATACAATACAAAAATATGGTTCACTCCTAAAAATATATTATCAGCTACCTTCTGGATAAAACCGTAGCTCGTAGCGCATCTACGATTGCTACGACGTAGCATTTCCAAGTATCTTTTTCTACATTGCTTTTTGGATCGAATGATTTTTTTAGAATGCTAAATTATGAATTAACACATTAAATTTACGACATTCTCCTTTTATTTGCAATATATTATTGTTAATTATTGAAGATTTATTGTAGAAGTATTGTTAAATAAAAGTCTGCGACAAGAAACCAATCACACTGGTATTCATAAAAAAGATCAGGGCAAATAAAACCAAATCTTCTGTGTCGAATTTAAGGCTCACTTTGGTATGATATTGGTCTAGTTTTTAAACCGCCACGTTTATGCGAGAGGTGCAAACTCGGCGTAGGGGTTGTAAATCATATCTTCCTCCATTTATATAGACACTTTATTACTACGGCGCGTTCTAAATCAAATGATAAAATGCTTCTTATTTTATGTTTCCTTTCGGCGCGCCACGCATATTGTCGTCTGCTATACCGCAGTATGTCTGCCTCTAAGTGGTGTGCTTGCGAAATGTGATTTTGTTCCCTTTCATCGGGTATAAAGAAGTTCCTTATATATCTGATGTCGCATTCTTAAATTGATATTTAATATTATACAGAATATCTCATGAGTCACTGGAAATTTAAAACTGAAAATATTAATATACTATTCATAATTTAGAATGTTTTTAATTTCCAATAAAAAAGTTGCAAAATACACAAAAATTTAATTTGATAAATTATTGAAAGCACGTTTTCAAATAAATTGAAAATGTTATAACAAATTATTCGTACGCTTTACCTTGGACAGCAATTTAAAAAAACGCTATATTTTTTTACAATTTATCAAGTGCTTAAATACAAATTTTTAATGGTTTTATCCTGTTTTATCATTGGCATGTTATTTTAATTTGTTGATACTTTTGTGTTCTTTAGTGCGCAATATTTACTTTAAATAAAATGTAATATCTGATAATTTAACTAACTAATTTAACTTAAATTAGGGTAAGTTGAGGGTTATGTTTAGTGGGATTTGCTGCGAGGTACACATAATTGCATAATTTTTATCATTTCAATGATAATGACTATGAAAGATAACCACGACATATGGTAAACAGTTTATAATAAAGGAGGAACAGATGAACACATATTTAAATTTATTTTCTTCCTTTGGCGTGCACTACAGACGGATTTATTTATAGATTTTTTACTTTATGTAGCATATAAAACTTTGGAGGAGATAATTGCTTAAAAAAATAAGCAATTTTATGGTACTACACGTTACAAATTACGAGAAATTTCTTTTACCTACCTTATATGAGCCTAAGTTCTTAACGGAGCATGCCAGTCGCACACTACGGCCAGCAGGCACGGTGACATTTTGAATCACGTCCGTAAATTCTGGCTCTTCAACCACTGTAACAAAAATATAATAATTAATACAATCAGCATGGAGTTACTTACTGCAGTGTTAAATGATAAATACTGGTATTTTTATGATTGAAATCGAATTTTCATCAGTAAAAAAATATCCACACTAACTAAAACACCCCTCGATTAATTTTACATGAAAAAAAGAACAACGTATTGTTATATTTAATCAATTTTGTATTCAGAATGCTATTCTGAATAAAAACTCGAAAAATATACACTATGTCCCTAGTTCTCTGAGATGGGATAAAGTGGATAAAGAAATGAATTGGATAAAGTGGAGTGGAGTGGATTTCATACGTATTTTTCATTAACAACAATGTATTATTATTTATAATTATATTAATTTTTATACTATTTATAAGAAGAGTAGGTATTTAAATTTTGCACTTATCACACAGTTCACAATAAATGCATACATCGTGCTTATAAAGAATCGAAAACTACCTAGTAAGTATCATAAACATCGTCTAGCTAACCCACATAGATTGGAACTCTGCTTTAGATTCTGGCTTCATAATACTTTGCTCAGGGTAAAAGATTTACTTCTGGTTATCTTAGCGGTCCTATCTAATTACGATCCTATAAATCTGTTACACATTAGCTTAATATTATGGTATAGCATCGTTTTCATACATAAATGTAGTATAACTTTTGCTTTACTTTATCAGGAATCCAGCAAAACTTTCCAGTTAGACATAAAAATGACATTTTCGTGTCAAAATACGATTTGTAATTTTCAAATTATCAAAGCAGAACGCTTTTAAACAAATTGAGTGGGCGATAAGGAATAATGTCGTCGTTTATCAAGCTCCAAGATAGATGGCTGCCGCTCTGCTCTGCCCATTTTAAATGCGTTTGTCTTCGACTTGCCAAATTGCCACTCTTTGTTTCTCTCATAAATTTTTACTTTTGAGTATTGGAATGGAAGTTCCATTCGATATTTAACGTGTTGCTCGGAATATCAAGGTGGAAATGGGTAAGAATATCTAAATAAACTTTTAACGGTGTTGTTAAAGAAGAGGTTATCCGGGGGTGGCGTAAGTAAACATTTGTCATTCAGCCAGCGGAGTCAGTCGGAAGAGTAACTCCGACTGCGGATGCTCTGTCGCAGAGACGCGGTGTTTACCCGTTAGCCGTTAACGGGTTTGCCATAATTTATATCATATTGAAGATTTTTATTTTGTATAGTATATCAATATTTATCATTGAAATATTCTTGGATATTCTTAATTAAAAATTCTCAAACCTCCACGCTGTCCCATGAAATAAAACCGACTTCAAAAAGTAATAAAGGTTTTTTTTAGTTGAACCTCTATGCTGTGACATTTTATTTTAGAATAGCAAAGAAAATGTATCCATGTTAGTTTGTCGCCTAATTTCACTGGTATATTAGCCCTGCTTATATTAAATGAACTAAAGATATATAAATACATAAATACCCAAAATCGATTCATAACTTCCAATGATGGCAAACGGGAAAATAACTATGCAGCAGAGATGTTTCTAAAATAAACTTGCTCTGTGGCGCATACCGATATTCCGGCCAGTTCGCACTTGTTTACCTATCACAGTTTTCTCAGACAACAATAGATTTAAAATATGTCCTGCTCTTCTATAACTGGTAATAAATGTAGAAATAAGTTTTAAGAGTTATTTTTTAATATTTTCAGTGTTATTTATTTTAATAAAACACAACGTTCAAAGGAATCATTTAAAAATATAAAAAAAACCCAAGTGGCAAGTTTTAAGTCGTACCAAATATTAACGCAATATGTAAGTTTTCGATGAATAATGCTTAAAATATATCCCAATTTTGAACGGATAATTGATCAAATATAATAATAAAGTTTTTATAATAATTAATAATTATTAAAAAATAAGTAGATGCATAAATAGACTCGTTGTAGAGCGCATTCAAATTAAGTGATTTTCTTTTTTATTGCATAAATGGCATTCGAGTGAATAAATAAATCATATGAACAAAATTCTTAAAACTTATAAAAAAAGTCGTGGATTTTTTTTTATGATTTACAGATACTTTTATAAAATAACTGAATAAAGATACGAGAAAAAAATGTTTGCTATCGAAAATTCTTTATTTAAAATGTGTAGTTGTGATAGCGTATTATATGTTATTATTAATAAAGATAGGGTATTTACATGCGTCGGTGCGGTATCACATGTTTGCGTACGTATGCGTGAGCTTGGAGACAGCCGAGTGAAGATGAAAGCCTCGCGTTCGCTCAGGTGATCTCAATAGACCGTTCTGGCCGGTTACCCCTGGCTCCACTCGTGTAAACTAAATCCATATGCAATCAGTGTACACCTCGTTTTATATTCTGATGATATTAATTTAATTTCAATGTGAATTTGCACTGATGTATTAACTTATGTAAAAAATCATGTTACAATAACAAAATTGTCACACATACACCCACAAATAAAAAAAATATTTATTACATAACATAAACGTGCTTGAGAGACATGAATACGTGATTTTATTACTTCTTCAGTTCATATTACGTTTTGTAAACGTACGGCTTTGTAAATTCAAGATATAAATTCAACAAAACTTAACACATAATCATCTGTATAATAAAAAATAATAAAAGATAATTATTTAATAAATTCTGCTTCCATTGATATTTTTTATATATTAGTGGACATAATCACTAGCAAGAATCATACCTATTAATAACCAAAATCGGAGAATATGTCAAATAATTAAGATCAAAGTATAACTCTTTAATTAACATCAAATAATTAGCTATTCATTACGAGTCGAAACCGTACAAAATGTAAACATGTAAGTCTTATAATGACGCACGTAAAGGTGCTTACACTTAATAGGTAGCTTTTCAAGGCACAAACGTCTATTTGTTTCAATAATACTGTACATTAGAATTAGGTACGGTAACATAAGCAATAATCTTACACACCGCACGGCGTGCAGGGGTATTTAGGGGTTAATTAAGAAACCACAGACATGGGAGGGAGGTAATCCTTTTGTCACCGACGACAAGATGGCTGTGTATGTAGTGGCGCACACCAATCTGATTACATCTGGGGTGGAATTCTGAAGCTACACTACTTCGTTCTAATAACTACTCTAACGGGTAAAAATTGCATGATGAGTAAATTTTATATCCATATTTTATGTCAATAGTTGTCTCTGTTCAGATTTTATTTAGTTCCATTTTGAGTAACCTACGAGTAATTCAAATTTGACCACTAAAATTTTAAACGATTGATCTGGTATATGATACTATATTTTAAATTCTGATGTAGATACGATTAATGATTCAGTACTGTTATAAATCCGAGGAGCTCGATAGCGCAGTGGTTAGCATGCTCAGTGTTAAGGGTTGTTAAGCAAGTTTTGCAAAGGCCGGTCATAGGATGGATGACCAAGAACTTATTATCAGGAGCAAGAGCACGGAAAACCGTGCCACGGAAAGCACCTTAAGCTGTTGGCCCCGGCTGTATTTGTGGTCGTTAACACCCACCAATCCATATTGGGCCTACGTGGTGGGTCACATGGCACATTCTCCCTATTCAATTTGAATTGATTCTATAACAAACTATGGAGGGAAGGCCTGATCCCAAACAGTAATAGGACATTAAAAGGCTGGCGATGACGACAATTATTATAAATTCAAAATGGAAAAAAAAATATTATTAACATTATGTTAAAAAATAGTCAATTATGAAACAAGCTCAAATCTTAGATATAATGCGAAACAAAATGGCGGATCAAAGCGCTTAGTTAAAATCATTGTTATGTTTCTTTTCAGTAAATCTGTACATGTAAAATTTTGTTTTTCGCTCTAATATGATTTAGGATACGTTCGCCAAACAGATAAAGGATTTCCTTAGTACAAGATCTTTTTCAAACCTATTCGTCTAATATGGAGAGAGTTTGAGAAAAGCTTCGCGAAATGCTAAGTTTGCTGTCATTTTATACAGAAGGGACTGCAGACTTCTCTTGGAAATTTGGTTTTCTTTGTGCTAACAAAGTGTTAGCTGCCGAATTATTCCTCCAAAATATTTTTATTTCGGTATTTCAGGGATTAAATAAATGTTACTAACTGGAATTTTCCTAAAATATTATATTTATAGGTTCATTTTAATATCCCGATATTAATTTAAACATATTATGACAAAATTTATCACCTCTTGATTAGAGGAAAATAACCAAATAAGAAATGTAATCCCTATTAAAGAATATTGAAATTACGATATTTCTTAATAATGTAGCAAATAAATTTAGTATTTCAATTCAGATATATAGAATTCCATATTAAGTTACTTTCCTTTATTTGTAATATAAAAAGAAATTAATAAAAGTAAACAAAACGTCTCCTTCATTAAAAAGCTGTGATTGTTTTAATCGTAATTGGACAGAAATAGTGTCGAACTCTAGTGACAATACTAATAACGTCCAGAGCAGGGACAGGGTCCACTAAATATTCCAAAACTAATAATGAATGGGACCGCTCGGCGGCGGGTGGGCCTAACTCGAAAATAATCTCATATTAAAGCTGGCCCTTATTCAAATTGAGGCGGTCACTCGGAAGTCATCAGTTCGTGCCGCGCCCGCAAATTGACATGCGGAGCGGCGGATTGATTGCGGTTGTACAAGCATCTCGTTACCCTATCATCGTTGGTCGATTATATTTTTTATGTAACAATATTGATAATTTTATCTCTTCTTATTGTGTGTTATTTTTTATATTTCATAACTAGCTATTTTTCTCGAGCAACTTTTAGGTTTAGTGACGTAGTGAATATGCACCGCAGCCCGCGATCGTTGTCGTTAAGCATCTTTCGCAAGGCTCGGTCACGGGATGGGTGACCAAAAAATTATTATCTTGGGGTACTCCGTGCGTCGGAAGCCATGGTTAACTATTGATCCGGGTTACGTTTGCACTCGTCAATACCCTCCAATACGCATTTACCCAGCGACATGTCATGGTCCATCCTGCTTAACCATCCATAAGGAAGGCTTGAGCCCCCGTAATGGCGACGTAAATTATTATACAACGTCCGTTGCACGTACGTGATCTTGTCTAATAATTATAACAAAAAAGTTATCTCAACTTTCAGACCCGAAACAATATAGAGAAGTTTATTTTAAAAATTGAGTATAGTTTATCTGTGATTGAATCAATCGAGAATCGAACTTCAGATGTTACATTCGGTCATCGATAAAAATATCAAATAAAATGTGGAATAAGAAAAGTTTAGACTGTACTGACTGTAATACTATGTGTAAGACACATTAAGACATTGGTCAGCACGTAAATTAGTAAAATTCACGGATCGCGGATTCAAAAATCCATTTTATCATTGTTGAAACTTGGACATTGATTTGATACCCACCTTATGCGCGCTGCGGGCGCCGCACAATTGACAATCTTTCCCTTGATTGATTGTGTCTGCGGACACCTTGTTACTGAGCTCATGACAAACGACTAACAAATAATGAACCTGTGAATCTGACGTGACCAAAAACCTCCTTCGTGGCCTTTTTAGGTGAATATGATATTAATTGGAAGGCCACGTTGATATAATTCTTTTTAATATAATTTTTATAGTTTTCGTTTTATCGCATAATATTATTGAATCCTCTGAAAATTTTAGAAATTAGAAAATAACATTAATAATACACTTATTACATTAATCGCCGTGAAAACTATCTTATCCTAACAAATAGAATAATTGTTGTACAGACGTCTTTGTAGTTTTAAATTCGTCTTTAATCGCTAACGAATATTCTAACTTTGGAAATTTGTATCAATAATGTAGTTTCAACTAATAACAACTTTAATGGATATATGTGCGACTGGCAGTATGAAAGTTGTCATGGCACGCGCAAAGATAATAGAGGTAATAACATTACTGACGTTTTTTTTTTAATTTAGGTGGTACGAAGTTTCTGTATAATATAAATTTACTGTATAATATAAGTTTTTAAGTTAAAATTATGATTAAACTATAAAATTGGGTTTTTTATATTGTTGACGAGATACGCTAATTTATTAGTTTTTTAATTGATTCCATTAATAAAGATACAATAAATAATTATATTTTGTTATTCCAACATTTGTTCTAACAAGTTTCTCATCAATTTGGGGATAGATTTTAACGAGGCATTTCCCTTCTGGGAAACCCTTACTTTTCCAATTTGTGGCGAGCTCCGGGTGCTAAGTAACTTATTAAGTTCTAATTAAAAAGTCTTTGAAGATTTTTATTTATTGTTTTCTGATTGATCGAGAAATTATAACTCTTTAGAAAAATGAAATGAATAGAAATAAAAATCAAGAATTATACGATACTAAAATAACATTATTACGAAATGTACAAATATTACTAATAAAAAAATTAATATATTATTACTCCGAGTATCTCTTAGCAGTTACAACGAACTTTTTGTTTTTATTTATTTTTATAACGAGCGAGCAATGAAGGTGCTTCTATTTCGATTAATAATGAATAATTTAGGTGTTAGGAGATTACGTATTATTAGTATTTGATATTAGAGTTCCAGTCAAATAAAAGCTTTATTACCTTGCAGTGGGTTTATATTTAACAGAATATCACCGAATATACACATGCATATTAAATGGAATTTAGGTAAAACATATAACATTTAAAAACGTAATCCTCTTTACTTCACCGCAGTCGGGCAATGGAATAATAAAGTTCTTACAAATAAATAGTAAGATCCGTTTCCTGTAGTGATAGTTCCGTACTATAGTTGACCAGATGATTTTCTTTATAACAAACAGTGGCCCTTGTATCCAAATATTTAAGTTTATACGTCCCTTGTCACAGATGTTGCTCGTAATATTCTCATATACGATCAAATTCTTTTAAGAGATCCGCAGATAAAGAACATGGTGGGGTGTGTTCGGGTTCTCGGACTTTCACTTATTTGTATGCTCGTCCAGCTCGGAGCGACGTGACTATTCGAGATACATAAACCCTCAGTGAATACAGAAAATAGAAATAAAGTAACATATTATCTTATAGTGGACGGATTGTGGAAAATACATATTTGTTTTATTGCGTAACGCGTCGTGGTTTCTATTTGAGGAATATGTTTTTTTTTGTGAATAGAATGTGAATGAATGTGTTTCTTCCTTGTTACTGATTTTTGATGGGTTGAATATAAATTAAAGAAAATGTGCCTTTACTTTGTTGTTATTTAAGTTTCCGTTCCTCAAAAAGAAAGAAACCTCAAAAGGAGAATATAAGATACCTCGATCTTGAAACACTATGCGTGAATTTGTTCGCACGTAATTGGTTTTAGGTTTCATAGTAGTATTTTCTCGTGATATGGCCTAACCTAGCTTTTAAAAATCTTTTTGTCTAACAAAACTGTTCAAAAATATTAATAAAAACATAAGAAAAGCAAATTGGAACATGGATCGTACCTTAGATGTCTGAAATTATGTAACGTTATTAGGGTTAAAATATACCACTACCGTGATATTAATATATAACGAATTATTATATTTAACCACTTTTGCTTTCAAAGTGGATTGTTTAAGCATTTTTCATTATGAATATGGATATATTGAAAAAACAACATCAACATCACCTATTGGTCCTGAAAAATATCATGTATAAGATATTTTTATTTATTTCATTAGCAGCATAATTGATTGTAAAATTTATATGTTTAATTCTTGTAACTATATTTTAATTACAGTTTAAAAAGGTTTTTGTATATTTATACAGGTTAAGATTTATTCTGGAATAAATTATTCTTATCTAAATAATACATATTGATATATTAAAATAATTCAGTTTGAATTATGTCATCTAGAACACTGTATGTTTCAGGTATCACGTTAACATCCAAACTTTTATCTTGACGGCGAAAAACTATAAACCTGGTGTTGGTCATTGTTAAGAAGGTGAAGAGCCATGCAAGTTGCTTGAAAAGTAGGAGATCTTCAATATCATAAACAGTTTTCAAAAAAGTAAATGAAGTTGTCTTCGAATTGTATGGAGCAACAGGTGCAAAAACTAACATTCTCCATTGTTGAAAAAACTGTATACACTCCATCTAGACAAGCTAAGTGAAATATATAAAGCTTATGGCGTTAAAGTCAGCAGAAAATGGTTGTCAGACTGTACGTCTTTCACAACGTCATTTCTTTAAATGTTGTAGTGATGCTGAGCTCTTAGAGATCCACATTAAATACCCGAATCTTTGAATTTTAATCGCTCAACAGATAATATGCATCGGAATATACAAAATTTTGCTAAGACCTCAGTCCTGTATATGTTATAGTGTCAGTATTCTCTTGGAGTTCCACATCACGTGTTTCAGATTCTTTTTTTAATACCTAAGGGAACTGAGACTTAACACTTCGTCGATCTTAACGAGAAGCCGATTAAACCCGGGCTCTCCCACTGCCAGGGACGGCGGTTCAGTGCAGTGGGCCTATCGTGTAAAACTTTCCGTACCACACTCTGGCGTCGTCCGGTACCAGGTATCTAGCAAGGAATACCCGGGAAGCATGTTTTAGATCCAAAATTTTTATAAGTCTACAAAAAATGCTCATTACTTTGAACTTAATTTGGCCGACCAAATTCAATTTGTATGTCCGTGTAGTGAATTTGTTTATTTTTGTAAACGGCTCTTAATTATTTTAAAAACAAGACTCATTTTAGTCTCAAATCACTAGATCACGGAGCCTGCCAAGATCCAAAACGATTAAAAATGTAATAAAACCTACAAATGACAGGTGCTTTATTCCTTATAAAGGGAAGTTTTGTTAAACAATTTCAAATATCAGATGAAATAATTACCAAAGAAAACATTACCTTGTTACATTTCATGTAGCGACTTATTTTTTTACACCATCTTTTAAAATTAGCCAACTTGATACAAATATTCTCGTGAAAAACATTGTAAAAGTCATGTCAATAATAATCAGTATGTTGCGATCAGTTGACCGGAAGTGCGGAAGCACATGTTGACAGCTTCCCCACCGATCCACCCGTCACCGATGTAGGAAAACCTCTCGGAACTATTCATTCTGTTTGTACTGACCAGTGCACGTAACTATTACAACTAAACTTACGGCAGCAACCAATCTTTAAAACCAGTTATTTAATAAACACCAAATGCTATTAAGAAAAAACGTAATAATAAAAATAAATTAAAAAAACATTTATCAATAAATGGAACAGACTTCAAACTTTAAAAAAAAAGTGAAAAATAATACCTATTTTAAAATCTGGTATTTTTTTAAAGAAACATATAAGTTAGGCTGAGTTTTTCAATAGATTGTAAAATGAAAAATTTAACATATCTACTTGCATAAAAAATAATCATACCCGATTAACAAAGAAATTCCTTCTTTAAAATTTTAAAAGAATGCAAAAGAACTATCTTTTGTTTTTTCGCTGATATAATCTCATGAAAATATTTAGGCGATATCTGATGAAAAGGATATTTTGTTTTGTTATTAAAAGAAAATTACTGATTCTATTTCGATAGAATTTAAATGGGATCACCTCGTACTTTAAAGCTGACGGAAAAAAGGAAATTTGAAAATCGATTCATAATTGTTAAAGTAATCGTGTAACAAACATACAGTCGAATTGAGAACTTCCTTCTTATTTGTAATTGTTTAAAAAAAATCGTTTTCTATTTTGTGTATTGTTCTTTTTTTCTAGTTAATTGCAATAGAATCCTCACACTTACTTACTTTACTGTTTAAGTTTCTTACTGTGATAAAACAAGGGTCCCTTATTTTTAAATATTTACCGAAACAAAAATATGGCAATTGTGAAGTTTTTTAAGTTGTAATGAAGAGAATCTTTCAAGTTTTAAGTAACTTAAAAGTCGCATAAATAAGTATCACGAGCCTGATCACTAATTGAACAAGTGTTTTGCGGCTCACAGGCGTAAGTCGGCGGATCTAATTAAGGCACCTACCGCGCTCCCCAGTCGGCGCCCATTACAGCCTCGCTCCTATTAGCATTGTCTCCTCGAGGGCGATACTTATCTTTATTTAAATTCACTTCTTGGTAATTGGGTTGACGAGTCGACAACGTGATTTGCATTGATGAAGATTGGCCGGTGAGCTCGCCGCGTAACTTACTTGTTACCTAATTTTGTTTTTATTCCGTTTGCACAAACGATTGATGTTAACTTTAATACGTTTGAATGGGTTAATTTCTACGAGACCATATTAACATTATATGTGTTTAGTTATTTTCTCTATAGATTTATTAACGTTATCTACCAAGTATCTATTTTATCATAACAACTGTAAATTCAGTTTTATGCAATTATCAAGCTTCATATAATTTAAAACACTTGCGGCAGATCAAATATTTTCTTTTAACATCGATGCACACACATTTCCATGAACCCATAAAGAAATTGAGTGCGTTTTAATTCATGTCTCTCAAAAGGTATCACTTGTAAATTTTGTGTTCACAGCCTTATGTAAGTGCAGTCAAAGAGGATGCGCTAGGTTATTTCTCATTAGTACACACGTAATAAAAATCACACAGAGTCGTTGCCTCATTAAAATCTTCTGGTGCCCGCGCCTGTAAGCCTTTTGTGAGGCGACGCGCTCTTGGTGGCTTTCACGTGTCATTTCAGCACAATGCGGAAAAGGGACGCCTAACAATTTCTGTTACGACACGACACCGTTTGCTTTTTATCAGTTTATCGAAGAATATTTTATATGAATACGCGGTTATTACATATATTCGCCTCACGTTAAATCCGTATTCCTCCCGAGTGACATATCTGCTGATGCCGTGAGGCAACTATTACATTTTATCATGTAGATTTTTTATATAACTTCATATTGCGTTCGGTTGAACATTTTTATCTTTATTTTATATAGAAATATTGTATTTTATGCTGAATATTGTAACTTTATAAGCGTTTATTAAAATACATTCTTATCATAAATTAATGCCACCAAAAATTCGCATTACAAATGAACGAAATTATACTACCTATTTTTTATGTAAAAGGAAAATATTTAAACTCTATTTATCTACACACTCTAGGGAGATTTAAGATTTCAAATTGAAGATTCGAAAATCAAAGAAGTCTTTACTAACTGGCCAGTTCTAAGCACGAATGTAGCTGAAGCAAGAAAATATGCTGGTAAAATGTCGCATGACGGACCACATTTATACGTTTTCTACATAGTCGTAACGAAGCGGGCCCACACTCCACAACTTTCATGCCTATTATCTAAACCATTTATTATAAAATAGAAATAAAAAATGTATTTATAATATATTCGTTACAAATAATAATATCCTAAGACAGGTTGAAGATTCGATGTTTTTGCATATTCATTGAGCACTGCAACCTACCACCTGTCGATTTGGCATGGTAATTCAGCTCATTAAGCATCTGTAACCCTCAGACATACTCTCCAAGTGAATATCCAATTATCTACTAACATTTTGGAATCTGCATAATCAATGTCGAGGCAATGTATACACTAGTTAATTCATCTCAGTTGTTTAATTACCCCAATGGATTATATACAAAAGTCTTTTAGAATGCATTTTATAATGTGAATCATGAAGTTTAAGTTGTTTCAAGAAAATAATTACATTTTATGTCTTACTTGTATTGAGTAATTCAGGTCTAAAAACAAAAATAATTCACAGTAATTACATATTGGTTACAATTAAACTGCAACCTGAGGTAGATCAGATCTCGTTCAAAGATAACCTGAAGAAGAATTTTCTAGAAATACAGCGAACATTTAGACACGACACGGCAGTTCAATATTTAGGTTGGCTTTGCGCGACTCACTTGCATATTCACAAGGCGGTCGGCGGTCGCTCTCGCCATCGACTCGGAATGGTAATGTGGCTATTAGGCGTTCTGCGCGGTGCTGACACAGCGATCTCCTGTCGATCATCTATTTACCTTGACTCTACAAACCGTGATAAAGTTTTACTGTCTACACAAAACTCTTTATAGTTTTAAAATATAGACATTAGTTTGTCCCATTTCTAGCAGGTCATTTTCTCTCGCTACATTACACTAATTTGGATACTATTTGAAACGCGTAAGTATTAATCAGCTATATGTTTTGACGTATTTTGTGTATTATTCGAATAACCAAAAATATGTGAGTTTTCTCTTCACTTTGTATTAATAAAATAGTTTTAAGTAGGGTTAAGAAGATTGGAGTCGCGTCTATGTATCGTAGGAACAGGAATTAACCATCCTGCTTTGCGGAAGCAAACTTTGTTGTCTCATAAGAATTATGCATCCTACAAGATGCTTTTGATTTTCATCTTATTTTAGAAACGATTTCCTTTTCTATGCTGAGCAATATATGATTTATAATTTGGGATACAATTTCTGAAATGGTACTGTACTATAAATGTAACCATGTATCTAGAATAGCATACAATTATAGAACTAGTTTGGGATGCAAGCTCCGAGGAACCACCCGTGACTTGCATCTACAAGTGTGTTAAGTTGTTATTACAAAATGACAACGTTGACTCAATTATATATTTACTTAAATGCAAGGGATTCCCTAAAAACCAGATAAACCTGTCAAACACTTTATAATATTATTCCAATTAATGAAGTTTTTTTCTTTGAAATTGTATTTAAACATCTTAACAAAGTTCGAAATGACCGTGATTATTTAGGTAATAAAAATTTTATTAGGGTTCTGTGCCCCAGAAAGAAAAAAGAACAGAACTCTTAGTAGATCACTTCGTTGCACATCTGTCTAGCATGATTCATGACCCTAAAATACGAGAATGTATTGAGATATCGAATTAAAATTAAAATCATATTCTCAGATCTACAGCCCCTAGAAGTTGTAAGAGAATAATAATAGAGAGAATAAACTTCTAAAAATTACACCTTAAAATTTATATTTTGACACTCTCGAGGAAATTAAAATTGATAAGGTATTTCCACTTAACCTAGAACTATGAAATTTGCCAAGTTTGTATATTACAATTAAATTATACTGTATTTATACCGTCACGTATAAATACAGTATAATTTTATTCATTGTCTACAGGGGTTAAAATATAAAATTGAAGTTACTGATTCAAATAAGGTATAATAAAATGCAATGGCACTTATATTTGCACTATATTTATATTTTGTTTTTTTTGCGTCTAATCAAAAGTACGAGTAACATTAAGCTTAGTGTTTCGTCTGGGAGTTTATCAGTAATCAGGTTCAAATAACACTGGAGAAATCGTGCTCGAACTTTATAAAAACAAAGTTTTTCCGGCGAGCGCATGCACGGCCAGGGGCGATTCTTGCATTGCGATGCCGCGCACGAATGCATGACGCGGCGTCTCCCGGGAATCAACGTGTCCCGTTTGCTTCCCGTCCGTGTGTATGTACACATATATTCTAATCCGATTGATTCTGCGAATATAAAGACTAGATGCTATTTGAAAATAATATGCTTATTATCTGTACTAACATTTCATAGCCGTGCCTCCGAAATATCTATAAAAATTTCTTTTATTACCTAAATAAACTAAACTAAAACTTCAAACGTGAAATAAAAATCGTTTCATTTTATTTTATTATTACAAAGTAAGTTTCGTTTTTGTAATATCGAGGTGAAAATTGTATAATAAAAAAAAACAATAGTGGAATCAGCAAAATGCCTCAATAGGACATTAACAAGAAATTAAAATCGATGAATCTGTAGTATAGGTTCACTTTAGATACTAATATTATGGAAGTTAAAGTCCATGCTTAGAGAGTGCAGTTACGTATTCCGTCGTCAGCGGTGGATCGTTATCTGTTTCCACCAAAGAGAACTGGCTTTTCTACGAAAGAACCACCCCGACGGTTTGGTTTCCCCCCTCTTCGCCCGTCTTGACTTCTCTTTTTTTCGTTATTTCATTTTTCTTTGCTAACGTGCACCTGCTAGTTAGCTGCCGCGGCCTCTCATTGCTTGGCGATGTTCGCCGGACGTTTATTTTCATTTTATAAGATTGATAACTTGTCTGAAATATTTCTTCATATTCGCGCCTTTTATAAGTAGGGGAATAAATAATAAGCTAGTATTTGTTTTTTCTTTATTTTTGTTGATTTTAAATTGACATATATTTATTAATAGCTTTCCACCAACGCCTAACCCCGGGTTTAATCTGTATTACTCTGTATATGCGGTTCTCAGCATTAAAATCTATTGTATAGTTTCAAAGATCTCAGCATACCGACAGCGGGAAGCAACTTTGTTTTATACTATATATAGATACTCCATGATGTCTGGATTCAACAGAATATCAGTGCAGTTAGTTCTGCCTGCTGCTTATACTGAGCCGGTTCCAGTGTTGGTATCATATAGCATACACAATATCCTAGAAAAAAATATACTTCTTTGCTTTTATTACAAGCTTATGTAGTTTAGGTCAAATCTTGCAATCTAAATTGATTCGCTTCTAACATTTCATGGAGCTCAAATTTTACATGCTTATTATATGAGTGTGTAACTTAGAAGACTACATTTATAATGTAGATATGGAACAGTACACCTCTGTAATTAAACATAGCAAACCCATTTAATCTTGGCCTCTTTAATCTGTAACAAGGTGAAGGTGACCAAAGGAACTTTGTCAAGTATAGATCGTTTGATTTGACTATAAGAGATCTCTGGGCCAAGATAATATACAAGTCTTTTTTTTTCAAATAAAAATTTAATTTGATTTTTTTGTTATCATCATTAATGAGCATGTATTATGTGTACATTTCAAAAAAGAAAAAAAACAGTAAAGTTATTTTTTTTAATTCACCTTTTTATATTATGCAGTAATAATACAACAATATCGAATGCATAAGAACGGTCATAGATTAATGCACCCGATCACACGAGTGCACATAACAAACGTACGCGATGAAGTTTAATGTCAGACGTCGGCACAAAGGATAGCGCTAGCACGGGACTCTCCTGGTACATTTGTATTCCTTACAGATAAGTAATCAATATCTGTTCAGAGACGCGAGCGGACGGGTGTCTACAATATAGAGTAATCATTCTCTCGGTGTGCGTATACGCGTTTTTAAGATCAGTTGTCCGATTTCCATAATAAATAATAAAATTTCACTTTTGGTGGCGACATTTTTTTTTAATAATCTTTACATATTCTTCACGGATATTTCTTACACATTTGAAATTGAAATTCATAACTAAGAATCTAAGAACTGTTCGATGACGTTGTTATATGTAAAGTTCCCCATTACAAATTCTAATTCTTGTTGTCATTTTATATACGTATATTTTCAGGCATACGATAAGTCTTTCATTTTCTTCACAAAAACTAGCATGCGTTATGCACGTGCAGCGATTAAGGGCCCGCACACCTCGTAATTAAAAAAAAAACTGGCTATACGGATACTTTCCCGCTTAATTTAAAAATATTTATAATAAGAGTGCGCCCTCGGTGCTTCTTTGAAGATAGGACACGACGCCCGAGTGGTGCCGTAATTTACTAATTTGATTTACATTCCTTTAATTTCTTTTATCAATATCCATTTTTCAGAGTCTTAAATACAATACGCGCTGTCTTATGTAATTTTCATTTTATCAAAACATGTAGATATTAACTCTAGTGATAATATAAAAAACATATATTTAAGAATACCATATTGTTGTATCGCAACAAAATGAAGTCAATGTCGCGTCACGCGTGCGAAATAAAATAACAGTACGGATGGAGCTTGATGCATATTTGAATACATTACAGAGATAATGCCGGCGACATGCCATAGGTATTCATAACGCCTTCCCAAACCAAATATGAATACAGATATCTAGGTGAAGGATGTCATTGAGCTACTAGACGATTTTTTTTAATACTATCAACTCTTAATTGTTTATTATATTTGATCAATTTTGTATTCAAAATGTTGTACTGGAACATATTCTTAATGATACATGTTTTTAAAAATCCACCAACCCCAGGTACTCTGAGAAGTGACTCGAACCCATAACCTTTCGCCATCCGGGCGAATGCTATTAGAGTACATGTAGCTAGTGGACGTTTTAAGCGTTTTTCATTAAGAAGATCTAATTTATTTTTCATATTCTATTGCATTCGAAATTGTATAAATAGCTATCTTATAGCCTTTATTGTTTACTGTATCGAAAATAAGTCTATGGTTTATTTAACAGAGCAACTTACAATTGTTAATAATGGCTTTATTGTTAATTTGCAACAATTAACAATATTGTGTAATAAAAAAACCGGCTAAGTGCAAGTCGAAGGGTTATGTACCGGAAATAAGCAAAAAAATGCGTTTATTGTATGGGAGCCCCCTTAAATATTTATTTTGTACTATTTTTTAGTAATACATTATTTATGAAAATTTCAACTAGCTTACTATAATAGTTCTATTGATATAGCCTGGTGACAGACAGAGAGATGGATGAACGGACGAATAGCGAAGTTTTAGTAATAGGGTTATGTTTTTCTATTTATGTATGAGACACTGAAAAGGTTGTGTAGAATGATATGTTTTCCGTTTATAAAAAAAAAACTATGGTTAATATTAGTGTTCTAAATAAATCTATCATATTATATGAAGCTAAGGATAGTTTTAAACAAACGAACGAAGGTTGAATAACTTTAAAAATGAGCTTATTTCTTTTCTAAATTATTAAAATAATTAATAACTTTGATTTGTTATAAATTACAATAGATATGAAAATAATTTCACTTAATGAAAAATGGGATGAACAACTGAGATGGGACAAACTGGATATTTTCCCGTATTGCTAATGCAAAATTCACCAAATATAATAATCATAATTTTACTATTATTTTACAATAAATTTAATGAAATATTTTTTATAGTAAATGTATATTCTATCTATATAAAGTATTCCAGACCTGACGTTTATCAATGTGGGTAGGTGGGTCG